GACCCAGGTTCGAATCCCAGCACCCACATGGCAGCTAACAACTGTCTGTAACTCCAGTCCCAGGGGACTCAACAGCCTCTTCTGATCTCCGAGGGCACTGTACAACATGGGTGCACTTAGCTACATGCAGGCAACACACGCATACACATAAAATAAAAATAATAAATAAAAAATTTTAAAAACCAGTACTGATTTTTTTTATCTCTAGGATTTAGGAGGGTAAAGGGTTAGGAATGAGAACAGAGGAAACATGTTTATCCTTTCCGACTCTTCTGATCTCTTAAAATCTTTAATCAAACACAAACGTTTCTTTTAGAATTTTCTTCTAAAAATAAGTGTTACTTCTCAAACATAAATACACTGAGAAGAAAGTTGACCCAGAGTTTCCCTCTTGGTTACGTTTCCTTCAATTAAGGGGTTAATGACAAAAAGGACCTATGGATTCCCTAAGTGCATATTTATTTTGAGCAAGAAAACCTGCACACCCTGGGGGTGGGTGTATGAGAAAGACGGACTGAATTAAATGCTTGTGCCATGCATGCAACTCAAGATTTTTAAAAAAAACAAAACCCTCACAATGTATGAAGGGGCCTGCCTGGTCTGCAGACTCTTTACCATTACCTTTCTAGAGAAAATGCCCCACAGATGGCAGACATCTGGAGGCCCAAAGAAACGCTGATAATTGCTAATGAAGCGCACATGGAGATACCTGACCATGATGGCCAAGCTGTGGCTTCTAAACCCTCAGTAAATACCTATCTGTACCACATTCATGAAGGGCAGAGGCTATGTCTCAAGATTGTACTTCCATGGGAATTTATTGTAGCAATGGGCATAATGCTGAGCTCCTGTCCGGGGACATACTTACCCTTCTTGGGGTACAAGGACCAGAGCCCTTGGCCGGTCTAGTACAGAGGAATTGACGATTGTGAGTCGGAAATCACCATCTGGATTAGCTACCTGATGAAAGGAAGAAAGGAAAGATGGAGATGGATCTGGGCTCCTTAAAAGATCCACACTGCCAAAGCCATCCATCAGTCCCTGCCCACAGACTTACACCCACCCTCATGCCTGTGCAGTTCCCTTTCCAGAGGCATTTAGAAATCTGCCTTAACTCTTAATCAGAAGGCACTGATCGTACCCGTGACTCAGGTAACAATTTTCACATGGTTTGAAAGGGAGCTAGAATCATGCGCCCCTCTATCTGTGGTGATCTGCACATAGTTAAGTAATGTGGTCCCTCGGAGTCCATGCGGGCTGGTTCCAGGACTACCCACAACAGAATAAAATCCAAGGATGCACAAACCCCTTTATTATGTGCAGAACTTAGATACAACCTACACACACCATGTATACTTTAAACCATCACCAGACCACTTATAATACTCATTGCAGTATACATGTTAAGTAAACGGTTGTTACACAGGGTTGTATAGGAATTAATGACAAGGAAAAGAAGTCCTTGTGTTTTGCTTTTCTGAATATTTTCAGTCCATGGATGTGAAACCACAGGTTTAGAGGGCTAATTGTACTGCTTCTGTGTTCACTAATCTACCCACCATGATACTCCATCCTCTGTGCCACTGACATCTCTATACTGCCCTAAATTTTTTTTTCTAGTGTCTCAGCCCTTCCACAAAGTCCTGAGACTCGTTCCACATTTTTCTTCTACTTTGGCTAGGCTGATCATCTCATGGTTCTCCAAGTACTGACTTCTGTCCTGTCACTCCTGCCATATCCCATCCCAGGCCTGTACTTGCTACTAGAAGCTTTCCTTCAAAGCTCAGTTCCAGACCCACCTCCTTTCTTAATTCCACTGACCACATTGGTCAAAGGGCATCAATAGCTCTGGACACAGATTCATTTTATGCCACCTTTATACAAACAGTATTTAAATGGAACAGTGTTTGAACAACAAGCCTGTGAGGGGCAGACACTTCCACCTCACCTGAAAAGTGCTGACCACACATAGTTAAAGGAAGGAAAGGAACAGCAGTAACAAAGCCATCAAGGCAGTATTTGGTAGGTACTGGGCACTGAGTATCTCAATCACTTCCATCAGTGTCCCTGTGTCCTGCAGAGCCAAGCTCAGCTCAAAGGCTGCAGTGACTGGAGGCTTTCTCATTCCCTTCTCCTCATGTTGTCCATGTGATCACATGACTTAACATTATGTTCTTGGCATCACTCATCACCAAAGAACTGATCTCTATTTCCTCACCATTTTCCTTCCTCTACTAACCTTTTTGTTTGTCTATTTTTGAGTTTTTTTTGGTTGGTTTAAGGCAAGGTCTCTATGTATCCCAATCTGACCTTTATTTAACTCACTATACAGCCTAGTCAGGCCTCAAATTCTTGATCCTCCTGCCTTAGTCTCTCAAGTGCTCAGATTATAGGAGTCTACCATCATGCCCAGCTCCACTGAAATTTAGTCAGAACAAGAACATGTTTGTCTTCCCACAGCTTCCCAGTGTACCATCAAATTTAGGAGCTGGTCTGGCACATACCCTGCACCAAAGAGCACCTCTTGAATGGCTGCAGATTCCATTAAAGGAAGCACTGTCTCGTACACTACGAAACCGAAGCTTTAAGAAGTCCCTTGCCACGTTATGTAGCTGGCAGGGAGAAACGTGAATACAGGGCAGCCTCTCAAATCTGTGTCTTCCATCTTATTGTGTTGGTTAGCTCTATCTCCTGACTTGCACTCCCCTTTAACCTGTAGGCTATAGCCCCATATAGCAGCAATGTCCCAGGGCCCCAGCAGTAACTTGCAAGGCAGGGTGCGCCTATATCCCTCAACACGATGCTCTTGGTAGTGTACAGACCCTTCATTACCCCCTTGTTATCTTGTCTATACAAGGTGGGACAGGTTTCTGGGTAGCTAAGTAAGAGATAGGTAGCTTAATAATGACAATGACAGCGCAATGCAATTATTACTCTAAATAATAATGGACTGTTATGGTGGTCCTATTATAACACTATGAAAGTATTATCATACTGTTACTACACTACACTTCTGCTAGCCAAAGAATACACTTTCATGCATGTTACTGGAGTCTCAGGCATCCTGTTCTCAGGGAGGACCTTCACGACACTGGACATTCTGAGATGACCCTTTTCATCTCTTCACCAGAGGTTCAGCCAGCTGAGGCTCTAGAAATTCTCAGGAAATTTCCAGAGCTGTATGACACAGTAGTTCCTATCCCTGTGTCAAATCTGGCTCAAAGTCCCAGTGCTCTACCTGCTCACTTAATCAAGAAGAACATAGGAATATTCATACCTCAATCTTTTTAAAGCCAGCATCCACCCAGTACAGTAATTGGCTGAGGGGTTCAAAGGCCAAAGCCTCCACTGTCTCCAAGCCGGAATTGATGATCACCTCTTGTCCTGTGCTCCCATTCAAACAGAGGCGCTAGGAAGAAAAAAGCAGTAATCGACATGGTAGAATGCTCAGATGACTCAAGGCCAGTGGGTCCCAGGGATAATAACTCTGCCTTCAACTAGCTGGTCTGCCCAGGGATAAGAGGTTTTAGAGTAGTCAACTTTCCAGATGTAGGAAGCTAGGTTAATAAGAGCATCTCCAAGAATAATGAATAGAAAGAATTTAATCATTTCTATTATGCCACACTATGGTTATGAACACAGACTACTAAATTCTGCCCTCTCAAATTACTGAGGTCCAAGTTGATAAGGTATGTGAGTCCGCTGCCTTTAAAATAAATGAAAACCAGACTGCTGGTAGTTTTCAATTCTTGGCCGTGAGGTGCCACTGTTAGGCTAGTCAGTCTCAGCAGTCTCCTCCAACCCCAAGCCTCACAATGCAAAATTTCTATTAGAGGAAGACTTAGAATTGTTCTTCTAGAAGTATTAAGTACAGTAAAGGTCAAATAGCTCTCCTTTTTCTTTCTTTTTTTGGGGGGGGGGGTTGTTGGTACTAGGAATTGAACCTAGAGCCTCTTGTGTGCTAGGTGAGTGACCTACACTGAGCTACATTCCCAATTCAAATAGCTGGCCTCTAAAATGCACATATTTGAGCATATGAGCCACCTGCCTGGTCTATCCAGGAATCTTTACTGCTCACTCCTTGGTGTGTGTGTGTTTTATGTTGTTGTTTTGTTGTTATTAGTGGTTCTGACAATTGAACCTGGGCTCTTGTGTACACTGGGGAAGTACTCTGTCACTGAGCTGTAGCTCCAGTTCTGTTTTTGTGTTTAAGGAATGGGATCTTGTTATATTGCTCAGACAGGCCCTGATCTCCTGGGCTGAAGTGATCTTCCCTCCCCAGCCTCACAGCATGCCCAGCTACTTCTTGGTTCTTGCCTATGTTCAGAATAACTGAAGTGGGAAAGTACATAAACAGGATAACTGGAGTTTTACTGTATGATGGTTTGGGGAGGAAAACATTAAAAGGGCACAGTAGGAAGCCACTGATAATCCCACATCACTGATCTCAGAATCTTCCCAGCAGGAAAAGGGAGACTAGTCAAGGATTTGGATTTGGGGCATCCTCTATCTTTTTTTATAAACAGAAGTAGGCAAGGAAAGAAAAATTCTATAGCAGAAAATGGCAGCTTCATCTAGCAGCCCAGTCATGAATTACTACATGCAAACTTTTCACCACCCATGTCTTTAAGCCTTCCTCGAAGACTGTCAAGACTGAGCAGTCAAGAGGCACAGCCCCAAGACTTATCAGGGGCTGACAGCCTCACCTGGATGGTGTCCAGAGCCAAGTCAGACCAATACAGGCAGTTACGCTCATAGTCAAAGTCCAGGGCTACAGCTGCCCGCAGTCCCGTGAGTGGCAGCTGTTCTGTGGCTCCCGAGGTGAGGTCATAGCGGTAGATGGACTTCCGAATGGCGTACAGGATGAACTCATTCTCTTCTGCCAGACACAAAAACAACCAGGACAGCCAGAATGCTGAGTGCCTAGCAGGCCCAATCTCCTTTCTCAAACACAAACCCCAATCCCAGTCACTCAATTCAGATCAAGCAGAAAAGCTTAGGAATCTAGGCTCAGGCCACAGAGCGCAATCACATTTCTACCTAGGCCAGTTAATTAAACACCACTGAATGTGTTTCTTGTCTCCCCCCAATATACATATTTCAACATCCACACTTCTGAATTCAGCCTAAAAGTCTTCAATCTCACTTGCCAATGTAAGTCACAAGTTGTTCCATATCAAATCTTCTGACCGTGTTCCATAGCACCAATATCTTGTTGACTAAAAACCATTAGTCACTAAAGCCTTCTAACCAAGTTTTCGACCTTACATACTGCTCACAGTGGCATGCAGAACTTACAGCAACCTGATCAATTTTCAGAGCAATAATACATTTGTTCTGGGTTGTTTACAACATGGTCCATAGCATAATTACAAAGGTTCTACTTCTGTGCAGCAAACACACAATGTACTTACTGTGTATCAGAATTTGTTTGATCCACAAAACAACTGTGAGTTGGAAGAATTACTATGAACCCAACTTAGGTCAGAGAGGATAATCAGTTCACTCAAGATCATATAGTTAGTAAGTGGCAGAACCAATATCTGAACCTGTGCAGTCTGGACCCAGGGTCCATGTTTTAACCACTATACCATGCTGCCTTTGATGACGTATGTGCTGTTGGTGCCACTTTTAAGGCATTTTTTAAAAGGCCAAAGTGCTTAAGAGTTTTATCCAATGTCAATCAACCAGTAATTTAACGCTTAGTATTCTCTTTTCTACTTAAGAAAGAGCCTGGAGGAAGTCAAGATCCTTCCACAAGAGGGGAGATGAGCAGCCAGCATCCCTGACCACTGCATCCACAATGGAGATTGTGAGTAGGTGAACAAATGGAGGTACCCAAGGGTAACTTGCCTGAGAAGATGCAGATGATCCACACCCCTCAGCCACACCTAACCCTAAGCATCTCTTCCACATCTCCACCATCTGGTTGTTCACATGTATCCTCTGAAACATCTTTTGTAATAACTGGGTAAAAGAGTACCTAATCCAGAGACTCTGAAGAGAACAAAGCCCAGATGGACCAACGGAGCTGCTACCCTGAAGAAAGGATGGGAGAAAGGATGGGAAGAAGCCTGGCTCATGTGGGTCCCAAGGTAAAAGCAAGGACAGTGTTCAGATGCTGTTTCTTGAGTCTGTGCCCATCCAAATTTTTGTTACTTGTGTCATCTCTCTAAATAGAATAACATTAAAAATCTCTTAAAAAGAGAAAAGCAAAATTAAAGCATTCATTCTCACACTATGGGGCATATGGGACCAAGATGCAAACATGGATCCCTTTGCTACAGGCCTGGGTCAGTTGGGGTCTTTCCCCTTCTCGTTCTCTCATTGTGTTTACTCACTGAGCTCAGAAGTAGAATACAACCATATAACCACCTCCTTTATAAAATCCTCAATATTGGACTGGCAAGATGGCTCAACAGGTAAAGGTGTTTGCTGCCAAGCCTGACAATCTATGTTAGACCTTCGGGACCCACATGGCACGAGAACCTACTCCCATGAGCTGTCCTCTGACCTCCACATGAGTACCCATGCCCCCCCACACACAAAGTAATGTAATAAAATAAAATAAAATCCCAGATATATGCTACTCTGAAGCATCTAATTCTCTCTCTCTCCCTCCCTTCCTCTCTCTCTCCACATACACACACACACACACACACACAATCAGAGAGAGACAGAGAGAGAGAAAAGCAGTTTGTTTGCATTGCTTATCTTTTGAGACAGCCTCTGATGTAGTCTAAGCTGGCTTCAAACTTGCTATGGAGCTGAGGATGACCTCAAACTTCTGATCCTCCTGTCTTCACTTCCCCAAGTGCTGGGATTATAGGAGTGCATCACCAGGCTTTAAGACTGCACCTAGGGCTTTGTGCATGCTGGGCAAGCACTCTACCAACTAAGCTAACATCCCCAGCTCCATTTTTTAATATTCTTTACACAGTGTTTCTCTTCAAATAAACAAAGAGTTGAGTTTCTAATACAGCTTTATTTTCAAGATAAAGACACTTGCCTGTCTGGTAAACCACATATAAAATTATTCTGATCAATTGGTGCTTTTTGTTTTTTTATTTTTTTATTTTTTTGTCTTTTAAAATTATTATTATTTTTTATACCCACTTCCCAGATAGCACCCTCCCATATCCGCCCCACAATGTCTTGTTCTCTTCTTTGATTACCATT